AAGTTTCTGTACTGATCTGGTGTTTCCTCTGCTGCACTTAAGTCCCAAGTGTCAGCCCTGCGTGAATTCTCTTCTGTTGGACTACAGAACACCTACACCTTTAACATTGTAACATTAATTTTGACCCTGACAAACTGACAGATATACCTAACAAGCAAACTACTGCACATCCAAAGCTGGCCATATAAGGAGCAAAATTCAAACTGTGGGTGGCCCTGTTTGCATTCTCTGATCCGGCATTCTTCAATTTAAAAATTGGAGGAATTGGATGTAAAATTCTCAAACAGTGACTGCATCCAACCAGTGACAGTTGCTGTTGGGTATTCTGGCAGCTGTGGGTGCTGGCTATCAGAATACAATTGCTATCAGGAGAAATGTATCCACCCATGGTGCCGTGCATCTGAACAAGAGAAATCTAACAGTTTATGACCCACTTTGGGTTTTTTTCTTGGTGGCAAATAACTTTCATTACAATGTACTCTAAGTTCCTCACTCCAGACTTGTTCCCCTCTGTGGAGAAGCCACATCTGAAAAAATTAGACTTAGTAGACAATGCCTGGGTGAACATAGAGCTATGGGAGACTCAGTATCTAATGCCAGGGTGGCCACAGAGCAATAGCAGACTTAGTAACCAAAGCTCATGTGGCTATAGAGCTATTGAAAACACAATAATCAATGCACGAGTGGCCTTAGAGCTATTGTAGACTTAGTAGTCAATGTCAGGGTGGCCATAAAGCTATGAGAAATGCTAAAAAAAATCCCTAAGTGTCCTTAACCAGTGTAATATATTACAATTTCATGTATATACAAAATCCTTTACATAAAGGTCATTCTTTCTATATTCCATTTATGTAAAGGAATTTGTATATACAGTGCTCAGCATAAATGAGTACACCCCTATTGAAAAGTAAGATTCTAATCAATATCTCAATGAACACAAGAAAAATTTCCAAAATGTTGACAAAACTGAGTTTTATAGAACATTTATTTAGCTCATTACATGAAAGTAAGGGTAATAATGTAACCTGGATTACAAAATCTTCAGTTTTACTCAAATTAGTTGATGCAAAAATGAACACACCCCACAACAAAAACTACTACAGCTAGTATTTTGTATGACCTCCATGATTTGTAAGGACAGCACAATGTCTTCTAGGCATGGAATGAGCAAGTTGGCAACATATTGCAACATCTATCTATTCTTCAACAACGACCTCTTTTACAGTAGAACCTGGATGGTGGATGGATCGTGATGTTCAACATGTCCCTTCAGATTTCCACATAGGTGTTTAATTGGGCTCAGATCAGCAGACATACTTGACCACTGAATCACTTTCACCCTGATCTTCAGAAATGCAACAGTGGTCTTAGATGTGTGTTTTGGATCTTTGTCATGTCGGAGAAGTGCACGATGCGCAAGGGCACAAAGTGATGGTAGCATCTTCTTTTTCAATATAGAGCAGTATATCTGTGAATTCATGATGGCATCAGTGAAATGCAGCTCCCCAGCTCCCCAACACCAGCAGCACTCATTTAGCCTCACAGAAGGACACTGCCACCACCATGTTTCACTGTAGGAACCATGCATTTTTCTTTGTACTCCTCACCTTTGCGACGCCATACAGTTTTGAAGGCATCAGTTCCAAAAACATTTATCTTGGTCTCATCACTTCAGAGAACAGAGTCCCAGTGGTCTTCTTCTTTCAGCATGAGCCTTGGCAAATTCTAGGTGGCCATTTTTGTGCATGGTCTTTATGAGAGGCTTCCATCGTGGACAAAACTTATGCATGCCATTCCTCTGCAGTGTATGCCATATTGTGTCACGGGAAACAAGTTTGGCTTTCTACTCCTTTAGCTGACTGCAGTGAACTTGCATGGCAAATTTCTTCAACCCTTCTCATCAAAAGATGCTCCTGTTGAGGTGTTAACGTCCGTGGATGGCTTGTACCTCTCTGTGAGATGGTTGCAGTTCCATCTTTGTTATATTTTTGTATCACTTTTGCTAAAGCATTCTGATTGATAAGTAAAGCTTTGCTGATCTTCTTGTAGCCTTCACCTTCTTATGTAAATAAATTATTTTCTTCCTCAGGCCTTGTGACATTTCTCTTCCATGTGGTACCATTGCTGACAGCATGAAATGGGAAGGGGTTTTCTTTGGAAAGTAGCACCCTTTTATAATCAATTGTCTGCTGGACACCTGTTTAAAGAATATTTAGACTAACCTGTACCTTGAATTCTTGTTAATTAGGATTTTGTTGTCTAAAATCTAACTTTGCTCCTAAGACTTTTAATTGGTGTTCATTTTTGCAACATTGAATTAATTTGTTAAAAAAAATACTTTTTTGTTTGTGCAAATTAACAAATCTTGTTTGTAATCAATGGCCGGCATTTGTGGGAATTTTGTAGTTATAGCATCCCATAGAAAATGTTGCTTCTGAAAGGAAAATAAAGGTTTTCTGATAAATCTGTTGGGGTGTACTCATTTATGCTGAACACTTTAAAGTACATAAAATTGTTGTATTATATTGCACTGAATTAGGAAACTTACGGATTTTTTAGCACTGAATTGAGATATACTGTATCTTGTTTTAGAGCAAATCATTTTCACTTTATACAGCTGCTGGTAGAGAACTTCTAACAACACAGGTTTTAAATAACGCTATAAGAGACTTAGTAGCCAAAGCCCATATGGCCATAGAACTATCGGAGACTTAATAGTCAAAGCTCGAGTGCCCATAGAGCTATGGAAGGCTTAGCAGCCAATGTCCTGGTGCTCATAGAGCTTTGGAAGACTTAGTAACCAATGCCCAGGTGGACATAGAGCTATGGAAGACTTAGTAACCAATGCCAGTGTGGCCAATGAACTATGAGAGATTCAGTAACCAATGTCAGGTTGACAATAGAGCTATGTGTGACTCAGTAGCCAATGCCAGGGTGGCCAAAGATCTATGGGAGGCTCAGGAGACAATGCTAGGGTGGCCATAGATCTATGGAAGGCTCAGTAGACAATGCCAGGGTGGCTATTGAGCGATGTGGGACTCAGTAGCCAATGCCAGGGTGGCTATAGAGCTATGGCAGAGTCAGTAGACAATGCCAGGGTGGCCATAGAGTGATGTGGGACTCAGTAGCCAACACCAGGGTGGCTATAGAGCTATGGGAGAGTCAGTAGCCAATGCCAGGGAAGCCATAGAGGTATGGGAGACTCGGTAGCCAATGGCAGGTTGGCCATAGAACTATGGGAGACTCAGTAGCCAATGCCAGGGTGGCCATAGAGCTATGTGGGACTCAGTAGCTAATGCCAGGGTGGCCATAGAGCTATGGGAGACACAGTAGCCAATGGCAGGGTGGCTATAGAACTATGGGAGACTCAGTAGCCAATGCCAGGGTGGCCACACAACTATGGGAGAGTCAGTAGCCAATGCCAGGATAGCCATAGAGCTATGGGAGACTCAGTAGCCAATGCCAGGGTGGCCATAGAAGTATGGGAGACTCAGTTGCCAATGCCAGGGTGGCCATAGAACTATGGAAGACTCAGTAGCCAATGCCAGGGTGGCCATAGAGCTATGTGGGACTCCGTAACCAATGCCAGGGTGGCTATAGAGCTATGTGGGACTCAGTAGCCAATGACAGGGTGGCCATAGAGCTATGAGAGACACAGTAGCTAATGCCAGGGTGGCCATAGAGCTATGGGAGACTCAGTAGCCAATGCCAGGGTGGCCATAGAAGTATGGGAGACTCAGTTGCCAATGCCAGGGTGGCCATAGAACTATGGAAGACTCAGTAGCCAATGCCAGGGTGGCCATAGAGCTATGTGGGACTCAGTAGCCAATGCCAGGGTGGCTATAGAGCTATGTGGGACTCAGTAGCCAATGCCAGGGTGGCTATAGAGCTATGTGGGACTCAGTAGCCAATGACAGGGTGGCCATAGAGCTATGAGAGATTCAGTAGCCAATGCCAGGGTGGCTATAGAGCTATGGGAAACTTAGCAGCCAATGCCAGGGTGGCTAAAGTTATGGGCTCCAGATTACCTCTATTAAAATTCATGACTAGACTACCTGGACATTCTAGAGCCATAGAGAACAACCACTCATTACTGCTTCACAGTATTCAGAACAATATACACACGCTCTATCTTTAGAACACTGGCATGTGTACTGCAAGTGCAATAATTTTTTAACAAGGCAAATAAAAACTATTCCAAGCCTAGGTAAACATTTGACATATTGTTTTATAACAGTATGCAGTGTTCTTGCACAGATTTTACTGAAAAGGTAGAAGCTGAAGCATAATGTGTATGCCCGGAAACAAAACTAGGTCAGTAACAATGCTTTCATATCTAAAATGACCAGAATAGCAGAGCCAGGCCCCTCGTCACTGTCAGTGATCTGTGAGCCGTGTACATCTGGAACATATTGAGTGTACATAGAAAAAGGCTTGTTGCACAGAAAACAAACAAATGGCAAAAACAATGATCTGCTCTCCCTGCTTCTCTTCTCGGCTCTACAAGGAAGGCGCTCCTTTTGTTCTGTGATTCTGGCTGTGGTCTTGATGTTTCGTTTCACTAATTAACCACTTCACGCGGAGAAGCCGCTTATTTTTAGCCCCTAACACCTGTGTCATACAGCTTAAGGAAGTCCGGATAAGCACTGCACAGTTAGTGACTCTTTCTGGGAATCCCAATACGCACTAATTGTAAACAGGCTTTGCGTGAGCACGGCCCCGCAGCATACCCGAAATGACTCAAGCGGGGTGTCAGGCCTGAGTCAAACAGGAAACTGAAACTGAACTCTTACTTGTAGAGGGAACTAGAACAAACATATGCAGGTGGCCTATTTTAATCTCACACAAACACAGGGTAATTATTGTGCTAAAAATAAAAATGTGACATGTTGCTGTCTTGATTGTTTTTCTTCTGCTCACTTATTATGAAGGGCTTGTCATCGTGAATTCCAAAATCATCACTGTAGCTCTTTATCATTACTCACAATTTTCTGAGATGGGAAACAGACACCTTTTAGTCTCAAAATCTTGAGCAGTGGAGACATGTTCTCTGGAGCAGGGGCGGACTGACAACTCATGGGGCCCCCGGGCAATAAGGGATCGTGGGGCCCCTGTGTCCTTGCCCAAACTCAAAAAAGCCTATGAAAAAGGTACCAGGGGCATCTCATGGGGCCCCCTACTGACCCCGGGCCCTCGGGCAGTGTCCGAGTTTCAAAATGGTCAGTCCGCCCCTGCTCTGGAGTGACACATCATGCTTCAATGTGTGGCAAATCCAATGGATGTGTCTGGGTTTGGCAGTTGCTAGGAGAATGGTACTTGCCTGACCAAATTATGCCAAGTGTAAAATTTGGTGGAGGGGAAATTATGGTGTGGGGTTCTTTTTCAGGGATTGGGCTAGGCCCCTTAGTTCCAGTGAAGGGAATTCTTAAGGCGTCAGCATACCAAGACATTTTGGACAATTTCATGCTCCCAACTTTGTGGGAACAGTTTGGGGATGGCCCTTCCTGTTCCAACATGACTGCGCACCAGTGTACAAAGCAAGGTCCATAAAGACATGGATGAGCAAATATGGGGTGGAGGAACTTGACTTGCCTACACAGAGTCCTGACCTCAACCCAAAAGAACACCTTTGGGATGAATTAGAGCGGAGACTGCGAGCCAGGCCTTCTCATCCGACATCAATGTTTGACCTCACAAATGCCCTTCTGGAAGAATGGTCAAACATTCCCATAGACACACTCCTAAACCTTGTGGACAGCCTTCCCAGAAGAGTTGAAGCTGTTATAGCTGCAAAGGGTGGGCCAACTCAATTTGGAACACTACAAACTAAAACAGGGATGCCATTAAAGTTCATGTGCGTGTAAAGAAATGGGGTCCCAATACTTTTGGCAATATAGTGTATGTGATATACACTGCACATACCAGTAAGACCAGACTCTCTGTTTTGCTAAGTACTCTCTGGATATTTTTGTAAATACTCATTGATTCTGCCAGGAGAACCATTGGTTGGGCACTTCATTTGATAGGATGACAGCCCACCCCTTTCTATAGTAAAATTACTGTTGGGTTTTCACCCTTGCTGACGCTGGAGCTGTTGGCACTGGTAATAGATCAGTAAATAGCCATGTCTAACTCTGCTCACAGCTCTTTAGATTTACAGCATCTGTAGTGCTAAAGAAAATGATGTAAAAGCCCTGCTTAGTCCCACCCACACTCTCCAGCACTATCCAGCAGGGTGTAGAAGACATCCAGCTTCCCTGCTGAATTTACTATAAAAAAACTAAAATTTCTTTTTAGGCATTTAACATGCCAATTTTCCTTGAAAATGCTTGTTAAAGCACAAGTAAACCTTCACCTTGTAGAAAAACCCATATAGTTTAAAATAGAAATGAAAGGTAAAACATTTGTGTGTATATATGTATAAAAAAAATTTAAATACCTTTTCCCCTTTTTATAAGTGATCACATACCCTCTCTTCTCGGCTGTGTAAGAGTTTGGGGATGAGCAACAGCTGCACACTGATCTTCCCTGTGAATGGCTGTGCATGGGGGGAGGCGTAGCAGGACAAATCTGATCATTAGAGAAGAGTAGGCTGAGTTCCCAGCACTGCTAGGGAACTGACCATGCTGTGCTCTCCTGCTTAGCATGTTCAGTTTTTAATAGGAAAGCAGAGGGACTGGCAGGAACACCAGGGATTTCACACAAAGGAAACAATATAAGGAGAACAGGATACTTTTCCATACAAGTAAATGGTACAGCAGGCACATATAAGGAATATGAAATGTTGGGTTTACGTGTTCAGAAAAAAGGGTGCCTAGAAAATTACCTGTGCCAAGCACCCCTTCTATATGCAGCTTGGATCAAAACACATGCAGGCAGGCAGTTGTTAGATTTTGTGTTGTGTTCAGTACATGGGTGTCCATTGAATGTTTTTTGCCTTTGCAATATACAAGGTAGTATCAAAAAGTTTTAAGACTAGTTTTGTAACACGTCAACAGTGGGCCCCAACCTTCATAAGTCAGTGTGGCAAATGGCACCCTCCTGTGTACATAGGGAGCTGTGCAACTGCTGCTATTCTTACCATGTGCGTTACCATGTCTGCCTTTTCATCATGGACAGCAAGTTAGAACAAAGAGCATAAGTGAAATTCTGCATGAAACTGGGCAAATCTACCACAGAGAAATTTGACAATGAGTCGTTTGAGGTGTTTTGAGTGGCACACACACTTCAAGAGTGGAAGAACTTCACTGGAAGGCGACAAGAGATCAGGAAGACCTTCAATGAGCTCAACCCCCAAAAATGTTGAAGGTCAGAATAGCACCAGTTGCACAGCTCCTGATGTACACAGGACAATGTCTTTTGGCACACTGACTTATCCCTGTCCCTGTGACTGTGCATGCAGCCTTGTGCTGACGTGTTACAAAACTAGTCTCGAAACATGATACTAACAAGTTTTATGTTGCTAAGAACAATGAGTTGGCTTTTACTCCATACTGGTGTTTGACTATAGGCCTTGCATTCATTTAGAGATTAGATTCTTTGTAATGACAATATTAACAATTGGCAATTAACATTTTTCTATACAGTAGGTCAGTACATCCATCCTAAAAGAGGAACCCCCTATGGAAGAAATTAGAGATTAGATTCTTTGTAATGGCAATATTAACAATTGGCCATTAACATTTTTATATACAGTAGATCAATACATCCATCCTAAAAGAGGAACCCCCTATGGAAGAAAGAAGAGCAAGGAAATGTGCCTCCAAAACTGGAATTGTCCCTCCAAGTTATTTGGAAATCCACATTATGTATGTGTGTACTTTTATGTACGGTATATGCATGCTATATATATGTATATACTGTGCATGTTCAATCCCCGGAGGCCACCAGACTTTTATATCAAGAAAATATATATTTATAAAAAAATGAAAGCAGTAAAGTATTGTTCTGGGAGCTGAGTGATGTGAAATCATATTAATTGCTCTAAATTCATAATTATGTGCAGTATTTATCCACTTAACATATTAAAGCGCATGTAAATCCAAACACTTTTTTTTAGTTTTAGATAGAGTTGGGAAGGGTTGGACCGTTTTGTGGAGTTATATGCTGTATATAGAATTGTCTATAATGTAATGGGTTGACACACTACTACTGTATATGCAGGAGATCACAGGATATGCTTGTCAAAACCATCTTGTTAGAGATAATTCAGTTAACTTGGGGATAACTGATATGCAATTGTCAAACTACTCCACTAAGTGCTCTACTCAACAAGAGGGCAACAACAGAACATTACAAAGATATGCCTGCAAGTTCTGAGGTTTCCTCACAAGTGAACTGCTGCTAGGAAAGGTCAAAAATAATGAAAGGCTCTAAGGAATGTAGGGCTAAAAGACACTGACAGCTGTTGATCTGGCACAGAAACAAAAGGAGACAGGAAAGGTTTACCACCCCAGGGAATGAATAGGGAAAATCGACAGACTTAGCACATTTCATAACTCCTAGATCTGAGACCATTCCAGCCCTAAATACCAGTTTATATGAGAATGTGTACAGTGGTTCCCAGCATTACTGTATGGATATTCCACTCATTACTATACAGCTGTTGAATAATAAAACAAATGGTGAACAAGTAGGAGGGGAAGAAGTTTGTTTTCCTACAGTAATCCTATACTGAAAGAACATAAAAGCTGCCCTTGGGAAGTATTTCTCTAAAAATACTACCTGCTTTGTTGCTTGGCTGTCATCCTGATCCAATGACTTTAGGACAGTCTGGGGCACTGACCCGGAAAACATACACATATCAGCTTTTTGCTCTTTGCTGATATTGAGAGTGGTTGCATGAGTGAATTTACTAAGATTTATCTCAAATTTACCCAAATAGTGAAGGAGGGTGAAAAGAAACATTGATCCAAGTAAACATCCATTTGGGCATGCCGAAAAAATATTTTGGTGGAAGGTGGGGCAAAAAATATCATATTAAAGTATATGTGAACCAACACCTAGTAAAACAATCCATTTCGTTTAAAATAGAAATGAAATCCAAAACATTTGTGTATACATTATAAATACCTTTTTTCCTTTTTGATAAGTGATCACATAATTTCTATTCTCAGCTGCATAAGGAGCTCAGAGAGCTAGTAGAGGAGAAACAGCAATGCACTGGTTTTCCCAGTGAATGGCTGTGCAGGGGGAGGGGTGTCAGCAGAAGTCTAATCAATGGAGGAGAGCAGACGGAGTTCCCAGCACTGCCAGAAAACTGACCACATTATGCACTCCAGCCTATTGTGGTCAGTTTTTAATAGGGAAGCAGGAGGACAAGCAGGAACACCAGGTATTTCACACAAAGAGAACAGGATACTTTTTCATACAAGTACATGGTACAGCAGGCACATATCAGGAATATAAAATGCTGGGTTTACATATTCTTTAAATCTACTAATCATACTACTTCTGTCTTCCTAGTTAAATCAATGTGATAAAAAAATGCAGAAACTTGCATTTGGAGCATGTACTACTGTTCTGTGTTCGATCAATTGATTATTAAACTAAAATTTTCCATCAGCTTTCTTCCATTGCTTGTCATGTGTTCCACTGGAAGCTAGTAGTTTTAATTGCTTGACTAATAATAGCCACTCTGCTCCTAGCTAATGCCTTACCCCACTACGCAAAAAAAAAGTTTGAGCTGGAGTTTAAACCTCATCAATCTAATTCATTTAATTGTTTTATTATTTATGGTTCATGCTGTGTAGTATGAGTTCATAAACAAAGATGAGACTTCCCTCTTTTAAGCCTGTTGGTTAGATATTTTCAGTTTACTTGCCATTTTACTGTATGTTCAGGTCATTTTCTAGCTGTCTCCCTCATTTTAATTTGTACAGATTGTACTTTGTTTCTATGTATCCCTTTTTCTATATTCAAAATCACATCAGTGAAACGAGATTAGGGTGTCAAGTCTGACTTCTTATTATCAATGAAGAAACCATATGCCTGAAATACAGCTGACCTCATACAATGCAGCCATGCTGCCATTGGCATCCACAAATACACGTCTGAGATTATATATACTCACATAAAATTTTCTATCATGTGCATAATGATTTAGAGCATCAAGAACAATTATAGATAAACTCAAACTAGATGCAAAATACACTTGGAGACACAAGATCACAAAAAATGGCACAGTAGTTTGTAGCCAGCATCCATCCTGTGCCCTAAGCAGGGGCGGACTGACCATTTGGAAACTCGGGCACTGCCCGAGGGCCCAGGGTCAGTAGGGGGCCCCATGAGATGCCCCTGGTACCTTTTTCATAGGCAGTTTTGAGTTTGGGCAAGGACACAGGGGCCCCATGATCCACTATTGCCCGGGGGCCCCATGAGTTGTCAGTCCGCCCCTGGCCCTAAGCATAACACATGTAAGGACTCAGGGCTGTCTTAACTCATAGGCACCCATGGGCCCCAGGTGCATGGGCCCCATGATAATCTTGCATTACATATGAATTCAAATCATGCACCATTTGTTAAGAGACCTCCTGAACTACCTTATGGTGTAAATATGACATGACAAAAAATGAGATATGTTTTGAATACATCTAAACAAACTGGCCTACTCTGGCAAATGAGAAGATAAAACCAGATTATAATGCTCTGATCTGCTGTAAGCCTTGTACAGAAATATAAACATTATATAGCCAACATTAGTAGACACCCAAATATCACACCTATATGAGATTATTGGACTTCCCATTCCAAGACCATGGGCATTAATACTGAGATGATCTACAACTTCTACACCCCTTTCTGACTATCACAGCCTCCACTCTTCTAGGAAGACTTTCCACAAGATTTTGCAGCCTATTTGTGTTCATTAAGCCAGAAAGAGCATCTGTGAGGTCAGGCAGTAATGATGGATTAAAAAGCCTGGCTTGCAATCAGCATTTTAAAGGTAGAACTCTCCATAAACTAGGCTTTTCCATGATGAGTTTATTCTTCATTATGGGGATTCCATATTAGAATGTCATTCCATAATTTGGCTCTGAAATGACTGAAGTTGGCCAGAACGTGGAATTCTGGTGGGGCTGGCCATCTGACTTCTGGGCTCCTGAGAGGTATCCACTAAGCAGTCTGAATGCCATTTGGTTTACCAGCAATCACATAAACCTAAAATGGCAGTATTTTGTTGAGCTGGTTATTAACAACAGTGAAAGGACTTATTTTCCCACAAAACCAGGCTACAACTAAATAAATATGATTTTTATATGGTTTCATTGTAGTTGTATTTTGGGCCTCATTAAGTTTGAACTCCAGGCAAACAGCTAAATATACAGTTGAAATACATACAGTATATGGGAACAGTTTTACCTGATAAAAGGATTTGTGTTTCTGCCCATCCAGTCCTGAGCTATGTACATCCCTACCAGACAGCAGAGTCAGCACAAGGGATGGTACTTACATTGAATGAGAAGTGTACCTTTTGCTGGTGGCTGCTTAGTTGAAATCTTCATTCCTCTGCCACCCTGCCTTCCCCATATCCGTGCAGTGGATTCTAATGATGCTGTGGCAGTTAATATGTAGCACATGCACCTGCATTCTGCTGTGGGGGTATGGGTGAGGGACAGAGGATAGAATATTTCAACTAAGAAAGCAGCCACAAGCACAAGGGAAACTTCTTATTCAATGTAAGTACCATCCCTTGTGCTGATTCTGCTGTCTGATAGGGATGTGCATAGCTCAGGACTGGCTGAGCAGAATTGCAAATCCTTTTATCAGTAAGTACCACCACTTGTGCTGATTTTACAAAGATGCCATGAAACGTAGGCTTTACCAAATACATTATAATAAACAATAAACTGTCACAGCAACAGCAATGTGGTGAGTCATCACTCTGTTTATTGTACTCTCTCCTGTCATAATTACTCATGCACGAAACTGAGAGTTTTAATTTCCCTGAAATTTCAGTGAAGATCAGGAGAATTCTGCAAAATTTCACCATTTTGATGAAATTCATGGGGTCAATGAGAAAGATGAATTGATAGTGGGTTTTAGAAGGGTTTTAAGGGTACAATGGGCTTAAAATGGCTCCTGAGTGTAATAAACGTTTTCCATCCTGGACATGTTCTTGTGCCAAAAATGGCTTCTTGTTAGCCTCATTATTTTATATTTTTTTTAAAGAAAGAAAAAAAAGGACAATAATAAAGTAAAATAAAAATATAAAGTGACAGTGCAAAAATATATATATCAAATATACACAAAAAAAATAAATGTAAAAAACACTTAGGGGCATACTTATAAAGCAGTGAATATTACATTTACCAAACATTCACTGCAGGAGAATCTTGCTGATGAATGTGTTTTAAATACCAAGAACTGATTAGCTAACCATGAATGTCAGGTGAATTTTGCCTTCACTGCTTTATAAATATGCATACCATACATACACACCCTATCCACCAAAAGAAAAAAAACAAACTTGGAAAGAAAAAGACATACATATTTCACCTAAGCAGCTAAATGAGTGAAATTGAAAGTTTCCACTCAGTCCCTGGTCAGAATGTTCCTTGACATGTGATATACATTGCAATTGTGCTGACCTTCTCTCTCCATTCTAAATGGTGATGTGTAGGAGTTACAAAAGGTTGATACCAAGTCGAGATTAGATACTCACACTAGTTACATTAACAAATAAATGTAATCATTTTTAAATAAACATATAACTGTATACACTGACACTTACTGTCAGGGGCGGACTGACAACTCATGGGGCCCCCGGGCAATAGGGGATCATGGGGCCCCTGTGTCTTTGCCCAAACTCAAAAAAGCCTATGAAAAAGGTACCAGGGGCATCTCATAGGGCCCACTACTGACCTCGGGCCCTCGGGCAGTGCCTGAGTTTCCAAATGGTCAGTCCGCCCCTGCTTACTGTACATATCTACCAAGCCTGTGCCCAGACTATGCACACTTAAATATTTACATAATCTGAACAAGCAAAAAAAAGAACTTTAAAATAACCCCCCCCCCTTTAAACTTTCTAGCTATGGGCATTGTGGAGAAATTAATTTTCAAATATCACAACAGGAGCACAGAAATCTGTTTTCTATGGGGAGCAGATATTGGTAAAATGCCAGTCTTTTAATGTGAACAAACTAATATGACACCAATTTAGTTCTCAACACTGCAATGCTGCTGAATGTTGCAGTGGCGTCACTAGGGTTGATGTCACCTGGTGCAGCAAAACATAGTGTCACCCCTCCGTGGGCAGGCTAGTTTCAGGCATGAAACAAGAAATAAATAGGGATATTTAGTTCACACATATTGCAATACATGCTTAAGCTGGCCAACTGCGTCAAAGTAATCACTCTATGGCCAGTCCTACTCTACTCTGCCTACGCAAATGCTACTGTGGACACAATGCTAGCATAGGGGAAAAGACACAATGGGGAGAGCTACAAGGTTCAGGTCTGACTACTGACCCAACAATACAACAAACAAGAGATACCTGTGCTCAAATCCCAACAGCTAGTGCATGCATTTATCCATCAGGTGCTAAAGGGGTGTAACCACATATTAACACTAGACATTCTGAAGGACCCTCTGCACTTTGACACAAGGATTAAGCCCTTGTCCTATTTTGATTGCTATCTACTCCTACTTCAATGATGCCATTACTGGTTCCAATGGCACACTGAGCAATTTCATCAGTGGCACCTTTGGTGGTCATCCTGAAGTCCCCTGGTGACCCCACTCACCTGGAATTCAGGCTCCTGCAGCCACTTCCTCATCCTCCTGAAAGTCACCCTGCCAGATTTCAGTTTGGGATTCCTTATAAGATCAGGGAAGGTACCATGCAACTGGTACAGCACCCTCTGGGCAAAGATAGCCTTAGGTATGCTGTACCTTTTGAGTTCAGCTGTGATTCTCTGCGCCATTTTGTTGGTGTTGATCTAATCCAAACTGTCCAGAGTTGCTCAGCTGGGACCCGGAACAGGAGGGTGGCCTGTCACAGCTGGAGGTTAACACAGGCTCATGAGATTGAGCATGGTTCGGGTGGTCAGGGTGGTGCATAACAATGAGGTTAGACATCATGGCAGACAGTGGTGTAGCCAGCCCCCTGGGCAGGTGCTGATCACCTCTTACCAGCATGGCAGTGTGGGCATAAAAGTTTGGGCTGATCATCTTGTTGTGCCCAGGTGGTCCATAGTTGAACAAGCTCTGTTGACTGTTGTGGATGGAGTCCAAGCTATTGCCTAGAGGGGTAGCTATCAAAGGGGACAAGCTCTGCCCCATTTCAGTCATGTCCTTGTAGGGCTGTACAGGTTGTTCATGGAAGGGATCTCCCTGTCATCCCTCATCAGGGTGAAACTACCACTGACACTGCCAGAGAGCCGCAGGTAGTGGTGGTGATGAGGGAACTTGTCTGACACGGTGGAGATAGAGGGCAACGGCTGGAGTTAGGATAATGTAGGTGCCACTCATGCCCATCCCAGGTGGTGAGGAGTAACAGGGCATGCTCATGTCATGGTTCAAGGGGATAGACAGCTCGGGACGGTAGTCCCCAGACCTATCCAGGATGGAAGCCATGCTGGAGACCATACCAGACCTGGAAGATAAAGAGGAAAGCGCCTGGTGAGGGCTCTGGCTGCTCATCACATCCTGCTCATAGCTGCTTCCACCAGGTGGCGTTACTAGGGTTGGTTTCCATAGTGATGAGCCAGGACACTGACCTGCCTCTGCATGCAGCAAACCAGCCATGGGGGGAGGTATGGGAGGTCCTTTTAGGCTCCTCCTCTAGCATGACAGGTGGTAAGGGATGATGCGGGTGCAGGTCTGCCTGGGCCTGATGTCACCCCTCTGGCGGGTGTCACCTGGGTGAGGTCCGCACCCCCCACACCCCCATAGCAGCACCCCTAGAATTCTACACGTTGTATAAGCAGATAATTGCACAGCTTGGCCATAGTCAGAATGTATGCAGCATTCATATTGACATTCATTTAAACATTGTCAGCTTTAGCTGAAATATGCTATGTAATTAGTCAAGTGTAAGATAAGCTGTTTTATTTTTGGCAACAGATTGCCTCTAAGGCAAATGCTCAAACTGAACTTGCATAAATGAGAGGTTGAATTGTGTCTAGTTGAATAACACTGACATTTTTTCTACTATTTACAGATCAGCTACCATGTAACTATAGCTAGTAATACTTGTTTAACTCTAGGCAATTTTCATGTCTTAAACAACCATCTGGGTTTGGTTTGCAATAATGTGTGACTTTTAAAAAATGAGCAAGGTGGTGTTTATGTTGTTAAAGAAGATAGTTCAAGGAAAAATGGGAGCAGTGTTTTATAGAAATGACAGCTTCTGCCGGAGATACACAGTCAATACAGAAATGATCTGCTTGCACAGGTATAAAAAGCATTCACAAATTAGGCTTAATGCAGTACTCCAGCCAGAAAATAAACAATATAAAAATGAATATCCCTTTAATAGATAAATTAACAATGAAAAAGCTTTAAATGCATTTTTCTCTTTTAATCTCAGGATTTCCCCCACCAAACTTAAATTCTGCTACTAGATGTTCTAAGTCTGATGGCCAGCATCTTTCAACTTCACTTTGTCATCCAGAACCCAACCCATTTTCTGATTGGACAGTGAACAGGGAGGCAGCAAAGCTCATCTTTCTATGTCACTCTGCTTTCTACTCCTATCATCATGGCCTGTGTCGGTCAGCACATGAATTAATTGGCTCCTTGTACTGCTTCTTCCTCTGACACTCCAGCCCTGTTGTACAGAGACTACAGGAGGCTGATACCATGTTACAATCATGTACTTATACTGCTTACATTTAATAATATATATTTATTGTTACATTAATAATTACAGATCTGCATTAATTGATATCTTTTATATCTGCCTAGAGTTAAGATTTTAAGGGTTGTTTTGAACAATGTCAGAGTGAGCCTGTCCCAAATTTGTCCTCATTAACACTCAATGCAAGAAGCCCAGCCTCTACACCTTTAACCCTTTGTTAGGACAAAAAGTGTTCAAATATAGGTACAACTGATACTAATTGTATTGTACAGACAGGGTTAATTATGGAAAACACAGCTGCCCAGCCCCTTCATAAACAAAGAGAACTATCTAGGATTTTTCTTTGCTAGACAGTCCAGAATAGAACATCTAAGAAACATAAGCTGCAATTTTTAAATATTGTTTTTAAGATATGTGAATTGGGTCAAGTCACAAATACTGTATAAAGTAAGTATTATCCTAATTTGGCTTAAACAATTACATTAAAGTATTACTAATTACTATTGAACAGAGTGGCAAGGGTTAGAACCACTGTCAGGATAATTATTGTACAGGTGAAACTCAAAAAAATTTGAATATCGTGCAAAAGTTAATTTATTTCAGTAATGCAACTTAAAAGGTGAAACTAATATATGAGATAGACTCATTACATGCAAAGCAAGATAGTTCAAGCCGTGATTTGTCATCATTGTGATGATTATGGCTTACAGCTCATGAAAACCCCCAAATCCACAATCTCAGAAAATTAGAATATTGTGAAAAGGTGCAATATTCTAGGCTCAAAGTGTCCCACTCTAATAAGCTAATTAAGCCATAACACCTGCAAAGGGTTCCTGAGCCTTTAAATGATCTCTCAGTCTGGTTCAGTAGGAATCACAATCATGGGAAAAACTGCTGACCTGACAGTTGTGCAGAAAACCATCATTGACACCCTCCATAAGGAGGGAAAGCCTCAGAAGGTAATTGCAAAAGAAGTTGGATGTTCCCAAAGTGCTGTATCAAAGCACATTAATAAAAAGTTATGTGGAAGGGAAAAGTGTGGAAGAAAAAGGTGCACAAGCAGCAGGGATGACTGCAGCCTGGAGAGGATTATCAGGAAAAGCCCATTCAAAAGTGTTGGGGACTTTCACAAGGAGTGGACTGAGGCTGGAGTCAGTGCATCAAAAGCCACCACACACAGACGGATCATGGACATGGGCTTCAGATGTCGTATTCCTCTTGTCAAGCCGATCCTGAACAACAAACAACGTCACAAGCGTCTTACCTGGGCTAAAGAAAAACAGACCTGGTCTGTTGCACAGTGGTCCAAAGTCCTCTTTTCTGATGAGAGCAACTTTTGCATCTCATTTGGAAACCAAGGGCCCAGAGTATGGAGGAAGAATGGAGAGCCACACACTGCAAGATGCTTGAAGTCCAGTGTGAAGTTTCTACAGTCTGTGTTGATTTGGGGAGCCATGTCATCTGCTGTTTTTGGTCCATTGTGCTTCATTAAGTCCAGGGTCAACGCAGCCATCTACCAGGAGATTTTGGAGCACTTCATGCTTCCTTCCGCAGACGAGTTTTATGGGGATTCTGACTTCATTTTCCAGCAGGACTTGGCACCTGCCCACACTGCCAAAAGCACCAAAACCTGGTTCAATGACCATGGGATTACTGTGCTTGATTGGCCAGCAAACTCGCCTGACCTGAACCCCATAGAGAATCTATGGGACATTGCCAAGAGAAAGATAGGAGACATGAGACTGAACAATGTAGAAGAGCTGAAGGCCGCTATTAAAGCATCCTGGTCTTCCATAACACCTCTGCAGTGCCACAGGCTGACAGCTTCCATGCCACGCCGCATTGAGGCAGTAATTGCTGCAAAAGGGGCCCAAACCAATTACTGAGTACATACAGTTGCAAGAAAAAGTATGTGAACCCCTTGGGATTACGTGGAGTTTTGCATGAATTTAGCATAAAATGTGCTCTGAACGTCATCTAAGTCACAACAATAGAAGAAACACAGTCTGCTGAACATAATACTACACAAACATTAGATGTTGCCATGGCTTAATTGCACATAACATTTAAACATTCACAGTGCAGGGAGGAAAAAGTATGTGAACCTTTGGACCTAATAACTGGTTGACCCTCCTTTGGCAGCAA